CAACAAATCTAAATTCTAACGTCTCACATTCTTATCTTCACTCTCTTTTTTTTACTCTCTTTTTTTCATTTTTTTATCAATAATGACATGATATGGAATTTTTTATTTACAAAAAATTAGAGGTATAAGAGTTTTGAACCTCTATCATCGAGAGAATGAATAGATGTCAACCATAGTTTGGCACGAATCTTATTTTATTTAAAAAGAAACCATAGTTGAATTGATTTTGATTTAGAATTGAAAGAAAACCTAAAATTGAGGGGCTTAAAAGGACTATATTTAAGTTTTTGTAATACCATTGCTAATGTAGTAATTGGTGATGCATTTAAGAAAGTTCTTCCAAACTCCAACTTAAAGCTTTGATTCTCAATCCACAATGAACATGTGGCTTACCGTTTCCATCCCATCGTGCCCTTCAAACCTTGGGTCAGGGCAATGTAAGTTATAAATGTTGACAGTCAAATCAACTTTCAACGTTTACTACAATTCCGTTATGTACATAACAAGAGCTGTAAATTGTGGGGATGCTGAAATTCTTGTGTCTTGTGAAGAATTCTACACCGTAAAAACAAATGTCCAGAGAAGGATAAAAAAAAAGGTGTTTCCAACAACATTTTCTAGTTTTTACATTACAATAGGTGACAAAGATTCATTTTATCAGATATATATAAGTTGAGAATCAGATGACGATAACCTCTCTATCCCCAAGTTTTAGCACTTGATAATTCCTCTTCATCAACCTCCATTTCTCTTGAGCTAATCATACTCTAGTTCGTCTGGAGTCACTGGCCTTTTAAGCGGGATGATCGACTTCTTCTCAACGTCCCGGGATAATGCTTTCCTCATATCTGAGTACAAACCAGAATAAAGTTAATTAAGAGCAGAGCAAAGAGCGTGTAAAGAAGACATCACCCTCTTGGGTAAGGTAGACTCACCTAATCCATCTTCTTCCCCTGAATAATAACGTAGAACGCGCCGATAGATAACATAGTCAAGCTGGTCGAGGGAAGGGAGCAAAAAAAAGACAAAAAAGTCCAAGATAAGTATATTACTTTGCTCCAAATGAAGATAGAAAAGTGATTTCAACAGGGGAACTAAAACACAACTGAACATCAAAAATTCAAAATAAAAGGTTTGCATAAGCAGTATGGGTTTGATGAGAAGAAAGACGACCAGAAACCTAACTGGAATCTCGGTGCCATAGATAACACTAAACCACTCAGGGACATTCCTCACATCTTTCTCTACTTTTCTACTGAATAGTTGTCTTCAAACCAGCATTCACAGAATAAAATTCTAGATGGTAACTTTAAATTCTGCATATAATAAGATATATGTTTCATAACAAATATATTGAACCTAATGAACAATCCTTGGGTTATGTTCCAATAATTAAATGGAGAACCATCAGAAGATTCAGAACTACAAACCCTATGAAGATCCACAGGTACAAGGGTATGATGATTAGTACTAGGTGGGGATAGCTCATCTCCCCTCTTTTACATTCCTCTTTTGATAATGAGATTGCTCCTTGGTTTTTTATTACTGTTCTTTTTTTTTTATTTTTTTGAAAAAGGGACCATAATACTGCAACATAAATGCCTGGCAGACACGTCATTTATCACCATCTGATCCATGAACTGTTATTTCAATTTTCAATATCTTTCCATTATCAACTATCTGGAGTGAAAAAATAACACGTGTCTCATTTTCTCATACCAAGTAAGCCCTTGAAATGAGGAATTTCCAGTGATGTTCAATATTGACTTTTGACTGACATCTTCAGACAGGTATAAAAGTTATTAGGCAACTCTTAGAATGATCAATAATGAACAACTAGCGAGATAATAATGAACTTCAATGTAGAGAAGCTACTAAAGCACGATCAAGTAATCCATTTGCAGAAATGCCAAAAACTAAAGGACGGGGAGCAAGATCATAAGAAGGGCACAGGAATGTATGCTTAATTCCAGAAGGGATTATCAAAGTCCTAAAATGAACAGGAAAAAACTTTCTTTCTTCAAATCTTATTATATTATTAGAAATGGGATCTTAGAAATAGAAACTACATAACATTTGGAAGGACTCCACAAGGAGGTCATTTAATAGGTGGAATAAACCTGATATCACTAGCAGAAGTTGAAATGGAATAGCAGTTTAACCTTAAATGAATGTGAACTAGAAGATATAAAAAGTACAATGGTATTAGATCTCAAAGAGGGATAGGCTTCCATATCACTTACCTTTACTGACGATAACTACTTGTCTCCATAGATCAAAGGCTAAAACCGTTTGGGTGAACACTACTGGGTTCATTGTACATAACTTTTGGTTCCACGGGGAGGAAAGAGACAAATTATGTTTGGGACCTGACCTTACTGTTTCTGTAACCTCTACTTAAAGTAGTATGAATAGTATGTTTTGTAAATATAATCTTTCTTATGAATGGTATGTTTTGTAAATATAATCTTTCTTTGACTCAAGTCATCAGGAGGAAACGTTTTGTATCCCTGAACATTTCATTACTTCAACAGGTACAGCTTCAACAAAACTGAAGTATTAAAAAAAGGTTTTTAGCACTAAAGTATCATAAGAAATAATTTCATTGATGTATAAAATTTGAAAAGGGAAAACGTGTACCCAGTCTAAGGAGTTACAAAAAAACTTTCTCCAATTGGAGTGTTTAAGCTATAGAAATGAAACATGGGAGACAATTTACACTAAGAGATGACCAAAGAAACTATAGCTTCAGAAAAATGATCATAAGAGAGCTCTAAAGTATCACAGTATCAGCATTTGGCAATTCCATTAGCCTAGTTTCTTTTGATGAAAAGAACAGAGGAAATAATACAAGAGACCAACATGGATTGAACCATGTCAAAGATTGAACTACGTCAAATTTCTAAAACAGCATCAAAATTGATCTGAGCAGTTAAAATTTTGAACTCCATAGAAGAGAGATTCTACCTTTTCATACATCTTGATTGCAGGGGTGTTCGATGCCCTCACAAAAAGATCAACAAAATAAGCTTTATCGCTGCAAAAAAAATAAAAAAATAAAAAAAAAGAAAAGAGAGAGGCTCCTCATTAATATAGAGCTCAAACAAAAAGAAAAACCAATTTAAACATTATTTTCATACCAAAACTATCCCTTATCAAGGTTTCATTATACTACCATCTTACATCTTACACCTTGTTTTGCATAAATTTTTTTTTCTCAGATATATAATTATATTAAAGTCCATCTTACATCTTGTCACTAATATCCTCAAGCAGATTCATAAGCTTTTTAGCTAATTGTTGTCTGCGATATTCCGGAGCAACAGTTACGGCAGTTACATGACCATGCCATGACTCGCCTTGCCCCTCGACTTTTCCCATGACTGCAATGGCAAATCATAAAAAACCAACTAATTATAAACAGCGTGAAATAAAGGTCAAAATATTACCGCAAGCTTTTGAATAAACTCAATTGTGTTCTCTTATAATGTGGTTCCTACTACGAAAGACCCAGAACGTTGTTCTTACTTAATTTAGTGTCAAGGAAAATAAAATAGATGTTCTGTATTCAGAGGGTGCATTGACAGTTCAGTGATAATAATGAACATGAGAAGTCAACAACTACAATTAATTGGCTCCTTAAACTTCGGATAATTTCATAATTTTTTGGCTCTCAAACTCAACAGAATTGATGATTCCATTCAAATTATAATTTATTCTTTATGCGTCATGTGTGCGTGCTTTATACCATCTAATCAACTAACTCCACACCCACGTTCCAACCCAAAAATAGAGCTCCAAACACTTAATTCTACTGTTCTAACCATTAATGCATATTATAAGAAATGAAAAGATTTAAGAAGCCACCAAATAAAATTTGAGGCAATGGGTGCTTCAGTTTGTTCAATTCTTCGGCCTAGAGTAAAATAACTAACAATGGAACTAATAATCCAAGCAAGAAGAAAGAGAACACATAACATTCTGCCCAACAACGGTAAAAACAAACTAATGGCGAGACGCAGTGACTCACTGTAACCCATTATGCGGCTCCCAGGGGCCTCC